GGTTCCTGGACGGTCAGAAGCCCCCGCAGACGTGCACTGGAGATGGTCAGAAGCCCCTGCAGACAGGCGTCCCGCACGGTCAGAAGCCCCGGCATGGTCAGAAGCCCTCACGGACAGGTGTCCCAGATGGTCAGAAGCCCTCGCAGGCAGGTGTCCCGGATGGTCAGAAGCCCCCTCAAGCACCAGAAGAGGTGGAGCAGAAGGAAAAGGCTTTGGGAGAAGGTAAAGTCCCCATGGAAGCTGACCCAGGTAAGTTACGTGGGTGCCAGGAGGACGCACTTCCCCGGGCTGTTCCTGTCCCAGCCCTCTCAGGAGGTCTCCCAGCAGTGTCTGTGGGAGAGGGCACAGCAGGTCACTTGCTTAAGAGCATCGCTGGGGAGAAACAGAAGCCTTGGGGTGCCTTGTCAAGGTGCTGCTGGGGAAAACGGAAGGGGTTCGAGGGCCTGAACACAAGGCAATATGGGACTCCCTGGTAGGGTGGGGGGGGGGGATGAGGTTGCTCTGCAGAGGTAACGGCACGTGACACCTTGGAGTCTCCTCCCAGCCCTCCCTCTGCTTTTGGTCCTTGTGTGTGGCTTCACTCCAGTTCCTTCTAACACTTCACCTGCTTCCCACAGACTCATAGAACCATTTAGGTTGGAAAAGACCTTTTAAGGTCATCCAGTCCAACTGTTAACCTAACGCTACCAAGCCCACCACTAAACCATGTCCCTAAGCGCCACAACTGCACGCCTTTTAAAGACCCCCAGGGATGGTGACTCCACCACTTCCCTGGGCAGCCTGTGCCAATGCCTGACAACCCCTTCAGGGAAGAAATTTTTCCTAATATCCAATCTAAACCTCCCTTGGAGCAACATATCATGGCTTCTCAAGCCGCAGCTTCTCTGGCTCTTCTGCACGTTCCCAGCACACCTCCGGTCAGTATCACACCAAAGCAGGAAGATGTGAGGTCTCCACAGGTCTTTACAATTGCTCTTGTCTGCAAACAGAACTCCCCATCCTGGTGATGAATGTCATGTCCCTGAGTGCACAGAAACAGGAGCTGCGCAGGGAAGATCAGCCTGAGACCGAGATGGACGAGGACCCGGCTGAGTCCAACACGGGTGAGTAACCCTGTGCAGGGGAGACACGGGGCCCTGCAGGCAGGAAGCAGCTCCCAGCTCCCTGAAGTGCTTGAAATGGGGAGGGAGAAGAAAGCTTCAGGCCTCTCTTTTATCGCCAAGCAAGGGAGGGGGCTGGTGTTGGGCGTTTCAGCCCTATTATCTCTGCAGAAAGAACAACAGCCCAGCTGGGGTTCCTTCTATCAGAAATTGGAGGAGAGCTGATAGCAACACCGTCCTTCCTTCCTCCAGCTCTGCTGCGTTATGGTAGAGCTGACCTTGAGCTCAGGTGGCCTAACGCTTCCCGTGGGACGGCCCTCTGCTCCGTGCCAGCCGCAGAGGGAGCAGGGGGCATAGGAAGAGGGGGTGGCTGTCTGCAGACACCCTCTCTTCTGGTCCTGAAGCTTTGCCAAGCTAACGCACAGAGCAGTTTTCCTCTGCCAGGCACTCGGAGCCTGTTTCTGGCACTTACGCGCAGAGTTAAATGGCACTGGTTCTGGACACGGCTAATGCCGGCTGAATGACCTGGCTGCAGGGGGGTTTGCCACGACCCTTGGCATTGCACAGCCCTCACGGGAGCCAGGTTACCTGCAATGTTTGGCGTTTGCTGGCAGTCCCAAGCTTGACAGAAGCGGAGAGCCTGAAGTACTGCAGGCTGTTGCTCTTCAATGATCTTTTTTCCTGCTACATCTTGTGGCCGTCGTTAGTGTCGTGGTTTTAGAGGTGGATCCTTTTGCACCCCCGGCCCCAGTGGCACTGCAGCAGACCACAGCCTGGCTCTTCCTGGGAGCAAGAGATCTGCCCCCCGAGACCGCGCTGGGTTGCTCAGGGCATGTGGGCAGGACACTGTGGTGGCACTTGCACCTTTCCAAACTCTGTTCTCAGATTTGTTGGTAGCTCCTTGATCGCTAAAAGCCTGCTCAGTGCTTTGGGACTTTAACCACAACGTGGGTTTGTCCTGGGAGTGGGAATGACTAAGGCCTGTGTTGTTCTGCTTCAGAGGAAGGCTTTTTAATGGAAAATGAAATGGTGTGTGAAGGGGCTTCTCCTGAAGACGTCAAGCTGAAGGAAGAGGAGCCGGAGGCGTTGCAAGAGCTTTCCGCGCCCTCTCCCGGCCCAGAGATCCAGAAGTGCCCCAAAAGCGAGCAGGCCAAGGCCAAGAGCAAGAAGAAGCCGAGCAGGTGCGAGAGCAGCAGCCTGCTGATGGGCAACTGTCGGCGCGGCTACGTGCGCGAGTGGTCGCACCCCTGCACCGAGTGCGGGAAGCGTTTCCGTCTGAAAATCAACCTCATCATCCACCAGCGGAGCCACGCCAAAGAGGGGCCCTATGAATGCACGATGTGTGAGATCAGCTTCGCGGACAAACGCCACCTGGACCTTCACCAGAGCATCCACATAAAAGACAGGGCCTTTGGGGCCAAGGTCTGGGGGAACGTCCACCCGGAGCTGAGGATCCGGCCGAGGAGGAAGTTCTGTGGGACTTTCTGCGGAAGTGCCCACAGCCTGGGCAACGGGACGTACAGTGGGGGGCCCTGCCTGGGGCAGGCCAAGGAGGAGCTGGTCCGAGGGAGCCTGCCCAGCGCGTGTTTTTCCCGACAGCAGAGTCCTAAGTCTCGTAGTAAGTCTGTGCTGAAATGCAGTCTTTGCAAAAAGAATCTCTCTTGCACCTTTTCCCTTCAGCGGCACCTGCAGATCCACGCGCGGGACAGGCCGTACTGCTGCGCTGCCTGCAAGAAATGCTTCACCCGTAGAACTCACCTCTTGCGCCACGAGAAAATACATGACCGCCAGAAAGCCCTGGCTGCGCTCCAACAGCCCGCCACAGTCGTCCCAGCGCCCCAGCAGCCCGAGCCACAAAGAGCCCCGGAGGTGCCCACGGGCGGACGTGTTCCTCGCTCACCCGCCCAGGCATCCGAGAGAAACATTAGCCCTGCGGCCTCGGCAGCCAAAGCGGTTTCACCAAACGCGCTCCTGGTCAGTCCTGCGGAATTCAGACTGCCAAACAAGAATTGCCACAGCCCCGGCTGGGGTGGGAGAGCCGTCCAGCCTGTGGTTCGACTAGGAAATAGGGCAGTGGTTTCGGGGGTGACGGAGAAATGACAGCAGGAAAGATCCGAGCGATTTGTGTCCCTGGAGAGAAACTGTGAGCGTTGATTTTGCACTTGGTGGGGCACTGGGGTTGCAAACTATCTGTCTGCTGGATTTTAGAAGCTTTCCGGACTTGTAGAAGGAACCAAAAGCTTGGATACCGCTATAGAGAGCAAATTACAGAAGCCTCCAGTGATCCAAAATGCTTTACTATTCCTTAGGCTCTCGTCTCTGCTGGCTGCTGCACGAAATTTTCCCAAGCTGACTTCCCTGGGAGATTACCGGGTACGACTCTGGCAGCCCCGGGGAGGAATTGCAAACAGCAGCTGAGCTCACCAATTACTTGATGCTGGAGCTGACCCCTCACCTTTGGAAATACCATTACACGGTGCAGAGGACAGAGAGAAGGGAATCAAGCTGGCAAGCCAGGCGGGATTCCCAAGGAGCTCTTCTCTTCACTCACAAAAATTTCTTGACCAGGACACCGGATGAAGAGAGCGTGGCATTTCTGAGACGCCATCGCATCCTGGCTGCACTTGTCTAATAACCCACCCTGGTGAGGAAATCCCCCAACCCCTCAGTCAGGTTGGGAACACCTGAGCATTGCATTGGAAGATCCACAGAACAAATCAAACCACGATATTTTCTGCTTGTGAGGGTGCTGCGGGTGTTTCTGAGGTCCCAGCAGCGCTCCTTCCTTCAACGAGGCCAGCCCGCGAGAGCCAGAAACGCCCAAGAGAGTTAATTCCCTCAGGACCAGCCTGCACAGACGGAGAGTCACTTTAGAAGTACTTCACGGGTAAGATTACCCCTGCGCTGCAGCAGCAGTCCCCGGGAGGACCCCTCCTGGGGGGCCGAGGCCTGTCGCCTGCTGCATGCCGACTCTTGCACGGGAGCAGCCCCTCCGCTTGGTCCTGCTGTGGAAGGAAGCCCCCACTCTCCAAACTGCAGGTCGTCTCCTTTAGTCATGTGCAAAATCCCACTGTAACTAATCCTATGGAAGACTAGTTCTGCTAGCTACCTCAAATGTCTTGCGGAGTGAGACCTGCCCAGAGGCAGATGGGTAAAACGGGAGCATGGTAAGCGACGAAAGCCAGGCCAGGTGTGGCTCCGGCGTCCCCAGGAATCGCTCAAACCATCAGCGTCCATGGCCAGAGCCCTGCGTGCGTCACGTGCGCTGCCGGGAAGCACGAACCGTGTACAGAGAGAGGAAGTAAGCCCCGGTGGCATCGCCGTGCAGACCAAACAGAGAAGCTGTTAGGACTCTTGAGTTGGGTTTTCCAGGTTTTTTTTTGTTTTCCTTGAGTTGTTTGATGTAATTATTTGACATCTCTAAGTCGCTGTACCTCTCCAAGCAGGGAAGCGTGGGGAATCAGTTTGTTTATCACATTTTTCATTCCTGGCCACTCACAATGGCTGCAGGGGTGCTGCTGCCGGCAGGATGCTTTGGGCGCTGAGGAAGTGCCCGTGCCACGTCCTGGTGTGGTGCCCCGCAGGACGGACAGCAGTGCCAGAGCTGCTCCTTGAGGACGCACGACGTCCCGCTGCTCCTCTGGGCCGGTTTCGCACTCCATTCCTGTCCCCTGGGACTGCAGAGTGTGCCGGGACTGTAGCGTTAGCCATGAGGGGGTGACGGCGGCAGACACGTCGGCCCCGTGTCCCCGAGGGGACGGCGTTGCCTGTGGCCGAGCCCTGTAGGCTACAGGGGCGGTGAATGCCTTACGGCCGTGCGGTGACAGTGGCTTGGGCAGCAAGCCGTGCTCCGGCACAGCACAGCGACACGGGCTGTAGCGACCCAGCTGGCTATCCCTGCTTGGGTAGAGATCCCAGTGAACCCCAGTTGATCCCAGTGACGCGAGTCAGCTGGTGTGACGGTATTGCTGGTGGGCAATACCTCCGGGGTAGTGCGGGTGGTGTGGAGGGGCCGGCCTCTCCCTCGGGCCGACTGCTGCAAGCAGGGCGTTTCTTTTCAAGCTGTTGTGACTGGGACCAGCGTTTCCTACGACCTCCCAGATCCCTTTCTCAGGCTGTGGAATCAATAAAGTATTTGTCTGTACGTCTGCCTGCCGGG